GAAGAAGGGGCTGGATTCCTAGTAAGTCTCACCTCGTAAAGATTCTGTACCTCCCAATAAGGCCATAGGCTGGTGATCAAACCTTTAACAGAAGGGCCTTTGGTAGACACTTATCCAAACCATAGCAGTGATTAATCCTAAAACAGATCAGTGAAGTCTTTGCAGAAAAGTTAGCATTTGATTTGGATCTTTAGAGGTGGGTGGTATATTATTTTCATTGTTTGGGGAGGGTGGAGAGGTCAGCAGGACATAACAAGCTAAGAAAGAGAGCTAGAGAGCAGGGAGTCTGCCACTGCCCATTTCCTTTCTAATGAATGCTAAATCTTCATGGTCCAAGTGTAACTTATGTCAAGCATTAAAAATAGCGACCAAGGGAAATGTCTGTTGAAGAACTACATTATGAGTCAGGCATGGTGTTGCTCTGAGACTGAGGCAGGAGAATTGTTAGTTCAAGGCCAGCCTGGGTAGCCTAATGAGTTCCAGGCCAGTTTGGCCTGCATAGGAAGACTCTGTCTGGGGGGAAATAATTTAGATTGTTTTTTAATGTTCCACTTAAACTATGAGCAGAGAAAAACCATTGCTGTATCTCAGGAGAGCAGTGAATATTGTTGACCCATGTTTTAGGAAGGTGGGATACATGTAGATGTGAACACTTGGAAGCTTATCGGAGGAGGTCATTGCAACAGATCAGGGATTAAAAAAAAAAAAACATAAACTCATCAGTAGAGAATATTTTGTGGTAGATTTGCTATGTTGTAGCTATTCTGAGGTGCACATTTTTTCCCCTTATAAAATCTCTGAAATCTGGTATCTTGACTGTATGCAAGTCACTCTGATCCTGTTTTCATCTTTCTTTCCAGCTTTACTCTAGCCTTACTGAGACCCATTCATTGACTATTACCATGTTTTCACTGTCATCTTTACCACTCAAGTACTCATTTCCTTATTATTCATGATCATTATCACCAGTTCCTTTTCTCTCTCTCCTTGGCAAAACCCCAGCTCTGGGTAAACCAAACAATTTATCTATTTCCTGCCTGAAGCTGAGCATCTAAATATTGGTAAGAAGAATACATACCTATGTTAATTGGTGTTACTTTGCACTCAAAACCACAGACCTCAAATAGGGACTCAACCATGTGGAGCAGCCTAGTACATGTCCCTAGTGAACTTACTTTTTCAAGGTAACTCCTTTATTCTTTTTTCTCACTTTTAATTGCTAACCTCACTTCTTATTTAATGATAAAAATAAGCAACTGGGATATTTCCAGCCCCTTTATATTTGTTATCACACACCCTGCTTTCCTTTCTGTTTCAAAGGAAGACAAATCCTCACTTCTGTATAAAGCAAAATCTTCCCTTGGGCTTTGGCTCCCATTCCTTTTTTGACTTTTTAGGAAATTTGCTCTCTGACTATAATACCCCTCCTCTCTCCATAATAAATATCCCCTCATTAGTGAATCATTCCCTATGGAATTCCTAACTATGGTCTAATTGGTATGCTCACTCCTTTACATTCAAACATGAGCTTTCTGCAATCTCTGTGTTATTTCTTTGTCTTCCATTCTCTCACCTAACTTCCTGTTAGGTTTCCATCTCCACCATTTGCTGAAATGGTGCTTTTCAGTAACAGATCAGTAACTTTCATACAGTCAAATCCCATAGAATCGTCACACTTCATATGAAACTCAGTCTCAGTATTTTACATACTTGGTCACTGTTTCCCTCTTGAAAAACTTTCTTCTCTTGATTTCTGTGATACCATGTTTTCCTTTCTTACATTACAACCACTTTCTTCTTCTCAAATCCTTTTCTTGGTGATTCTCTTCCTTTATTTACTGGAATTCCCTCTTTTCCCCAGCTGTTTGTCCATATAAGGTATCTTCTCTAGTCTTATGGCATTAATGCCACTTTTAGGCTAATGGCTCACAAAACCTGCCTTGCTAGATTTGTCCACTTAAAAGTACTGTTGGCATCACAAATTTTACATGACCCAAACAGAATTCTTGATTTTCACTTCCTGTGAAACCTATGCCTCCTGTCTTTGTTACCTTATGAAATGATACACAACCACTGGTTGCTTAAAACTATTTTTTAGATTGGGGAGCTATTTAACCTTTTATGTGGAAGCAAATACATAGAAAATACTGATTGTTTTCAAATGTGTTTCTTATTATGAGGAGCATCTTGAATCCTCCATGTCATGTGCACAGTTTTATGTCTTAAACATTGACTTTCACGTGAACATGAACCTAAACATGGGTTCAGGTAAGTTTATAATTATAAAAAATAATTAAGTCACCATTATAAAAGTAGATAGCAATCCAAGAAGATAAATCTTCCTTTTTTAACTGAGCTTAATTTTAGGGGTACAAGGTAACTCTAGTAATACTGCAAAGATATGGGAGTGGGAGATGGCTCTCCTGAATACATTTGGCAGGGTCTTCCTGGTATTTAGTAAGGGATTTTGTGCTCTTAAAAGATTTCATGACATAAAGATGAAATTAAAACATTCATAAACATGTTATGATTTGAATCTCCAAATCACATGAATTTTTAAGTTAAAAATCTGAACCTGCAGTGAAAGTCTGGGTTTGTTGTTTGCCACTTTAAACTCTGACCAGGAAATACCTCACAGGTAAACATTCACTCCTGGCAGCTGGTAGAAGCACTTTGGAAAAAGAGTGTGAGACACTGTGCTTTATGGGTTTTCTTTTTGTTTTTTTGTTTTTAAATGAATCTTGTTGTCAAACACTTTGAAAAGGGTGAATTAGAATTAGTTTTCCTCAAGAGGTTCAAATCACCCTTAATTATGTTCTCCACTTTATTTTCTTATATTAATGTTCATTATCAAGGGAGTGAGTATCCGAGAGTTTAGAAAGCCAGACTGAGACCAGACAGTTGTTTGCAGTGAGACTTAAATGGTTACGTGTCTGTCATGAATCCATGCATCCATGATTTCCGTGAGGGAAGGGCTCCCTTTCAAATTACTGAAAAATCAGTATACTTCCAAGCAATACAGAGCAGCACAGACGTTTTCTCTGCGGAAAGTAGTTTGTACTGGTACTGTTTCTTCATTCCCCCTCTACTTTGGTTTCCCTTGATCTTCTAAGGGTAATCCCTAGCCCAGAATGGCTCTAAACTGGTGTTATTATTATTAAAACAGGCAAATATTGAAAGTGGCTGTAGAATTTTTTCTACAAATAGATACCATGTATGTCAAGTGAAAGCCTATATGGTTTTGTTTGTATTGTTAAATTTGTCATTTCAAAAATATCAAGTATTAGTATTAGAATAATGTCTTGGTATTTTTCAAATAGCATATTTAACAACTAAACACTTTCCTTCTGGCAAGTTCCTGAACTAACAAAATGTTAAATTCTATCTTAAAAGCAATTAATTCATTTAGCATGCCTTTGTTGAGTACCTATCTACTAAGTACCAAGCTAACTTCTAGGTACCAAGGATTTAGGAATGAATGAGACTGGTAAAGAAAAATCTGAGATGGGTTAAAGTTAATTTGAGCAAGAAAAAGATTATAGAATAAGGAAGCATTCTGGGCCCATGTTGGTTCAGAATGCTCCAATCCTACCACATGTGCAGAATATATTTATGGCCAGAGAAAAGGAAATAACATTCAAAAACAATGTGCTTGGCATCAGTCAGCATTTGTCTTATATGGACATGATATGATAAGGCATTTGTCTTATATGGTTATAGCCTGATCACTTGGGTACTATGATTGGCTGAAGTTTGACTGCTGTGATTGGCTAAGACTCAGCTATAGAAGCAAGATTGTATTCTGTTTTCTCTGTAATAAAATAGCTATTGTCAAAACATTCAGAAAATGCTCAGTAGCCCGGGATTTGTGTATTTGAGTTATGTTAATATTTGTCACAATTGTTTATTGTTTATATTTTAAAGCATTTCAGTTTACATTTTAAAGCATTGAGAATTAAAGCATTGTTTATTATTTACATTTTAAACATTTGAGATTGAGGCTGATGCCTTTGAGGTTGTTTCATTACTTTCTGGTTTGGGGGAATTTGTAATAAGATGTCTTATTCCATTTTGTGTTGCTATAACAAAATACCTGAGCCTGGGTAATGGATAAAGAAACTTAAATTTATTTGGCTCATGCTTCTGGTTCAAACAGCATGGTGCCACAGGGTCCCTTAGTCCATGTCACAACATAGAAGATGACATCACATGATGGGAATATAAGCAAGAGATAGATTCAGAAGGGAAGACAGAGAAAAACAGTCACATGGTGAGACAAGGAAGCAAGAAACCAGAGGGAGGCTAGACTTGCTGTTTTCTTAACAGCCAACTCTTGTGGAAACTAATCACTCCTGACTTCTCAGGATCAGCATTTATCTATCTTAAACACCTAACCACTGATCCTAAAGGGCCACTGCCCCAGTACCATTATATTGGGAGAATTAGCCTCAAAATGAGATTTGGCATAGAGAAACCACATTCAAACCATGACAAATGTGAATGCTTAATGGTTGGTTGATGCTATTCTGGGATGTAGTAGAATGAAATGAAGAAAGGATTCAAGCATCCAGATGGATGATTGGGCACATGATCTTTAAGTAATCTTCGAATCCTGCCATTCTATAATTTCATTGTAAAGTAGTTTGAGGGAAAATGCCCCAGCCTTAGTGAAATGGAATGTGTTTTTCTCTTTTGACCATGAATTTAGGTAAGTACAGAATAAAGTGTTTCAGAATAAGTAAAAGTTTCATTCTCCATGACCAGCTATGTCAGCTAACATCTCTGTTGTATGCATATAAGAAACAATGTTGTCAAGAGAAAGAAGCGTTTTAAGTCTTAGGTGTTCCCTCCTCAACAGCTACTCTGCTGTACTGTAGAGGAATAGTTTGCTATAAACTAAACTATATTGGGAATGTAGTTATGACTGTTGGCCTGTAATAAAAGGGATGTTTCTTTTTCCAAGAGTATATGCCCTGTGCTAAAAGTTTCTTTTTTTAAAGGTACGCCAGCCTGTCATATGCATCAACAACCATGTATTTTGTTCTGTTTGTATCGATCTGTGGTTGAAGAATAATAGCCAGTGTCCAGCTTGCAGAATCCCTATTACTCCTGAAAATCCTTGCAAAGAGATTATCGGTAAGGACCTATTATATATAGGAATAGATTTAAACCAATCTACAAATAATGTATATTTTGAGGAAGACTGAAATAATTTTCATTGTTATTTGACCATCATCGTATTGGGTGAGTTAGTTAATTTGTATAATGTGTATGTGGAGTAACTGAAGGGCACAAAGACTATTGATGCTAAGAGAAATAATCCATGGAGCCTCACTGGACTTACACCCCAGTAGGTGCTGTGATATGAGCCAAAATATTAATGGTTTAAAGCAGCAGATGATAAAAGGAAATGGAAGGAAAAAAAGTGTTAAATAAGAAAGCTCATCTAGGAACATTGAGAAAGACTTCATGAAGTAGGTGGCCTTTATTTAAGCTGGCCATATAAGTAATAGATAAAAATTCAACTAGTAAAAATTAGGGGAATGGCATTTTAAGTAATAAGTGTACCATAGACAAGATTTAAGTATAGGAAAATGCAGCGCATATTTTTGGAAATGACTAGTAGTCTAGTTTAGACCTGACTATTGAAATAAGACTGAAAAGGTAAATTGAGACTTCAATGTTGAGAAACTTGAGTGACAACTAAATTAGGGACTTGCTCTAAAGGTGGGAAGAAGAGTGAGGAGGGTGTGACAGTTTTGAGCAAGGGATGATAGGATCCAAAGTGTGCTTTAGAAATATTGCTCCAGTGCTAATATATGGGTTGGTCTGGAGGAGAGAAACAGGTGTGGCTAAATCAGATACGAAGCTCTTGCCTAGGTGAGGGAGAATGTGAGTCTGGATTAAGAGTTAAAAGAAAAAAAATTTAGTGCCACCCTAATACAATACTTAAACTAGAAAATCCTTAAAAAAGAAAATACTTAAAAAAATACTTTTTGGTGTTTTATTTTTATTCTGCTTATATAAATTACTTCTTTTAGATTATAAAAAATAAAATGATTTTGCTTTTGGAAGTGAATCTGTAACTACCCATGCATAGTAAACATCTTTCAGAAAACTTAAAAAGGCATTGTGATAGTCCAAAATTAGCAGAAATTGACTTAAAGATTTCTATAATGGAAATGGGAAAGGAAGGTATATGCTAGAGAGCAAAAAAAGAGCTAAAGGGATTTTAGAAATAAAGATTCCAAAGGAGAAATCAAAGTTGGCTACAAGATTTCTCTCATGGTTACCTGGGTGAAGTCTGGTAGAGCACTGCTGTGTTGCATTCCACAGGAGTAACCTCCTGTCTCTATGTTACCTACTGAACTTCACCAAGGAATCAGGTCTTTCTCACAGAATAATGAACTTTGGTAATTAAAATAATCTGAATGTTTTTCCCCCTCAAATTTTCTTCACATCTCTTTTCCTGCCTTCATTCACATTTAAGGGATATTTCTAAGTGATACTTCATAAATTTTCTCAAGTAAAATAGTTCACCCATCCTTGCATTTGGGTAGAGTGTACTGAAAAAGAACATCAGTAAAATGGCTTTGCTATCATGAAGGTAACCACAGCATAAGTGAGGAGCTCTCAGAAAGAATTCACATTGAGTATGTATCTAACAAATCATGGCATACAATTAATGCCCTGATTCATAATCCACTGTAAGTAGATTGTTAGAATCAGTGAAATACACATTAATTTTTTCAGTTATGTAACCAGTAATAAGAAATGTTTGAATGTCTTGGTTATAATTATTCATATGTATCTGTTTGTATATATATATGTGTGTGTATATATATATATATATATACATGACATAAAATATGTAGTCTTTGAATAGTCTGTTGGTTAAATATAATTATAGTAATTGGTTTTATTATTTAACAATTGGCTACTTATCAGATTTGCAGCAGTCCAAGTGTGGCAGTCATACATGGCCCTTTCCTCTGTTGTGTTTGCTATAATAAGATGTATAGATAACAGTATATTTTACTGACAGTCTTTCTTGTGATATTAGTTGATTTATTTTTTCCCAGAATTAGAATAAAGGCCTAGATAGCTGTCCCAAATGTGTATGTAAGGGGAAATATAGATATTAAGCTGGGAAACTTTATAAATAATAAGAAAAAGGTTTGTATTTATTCTACCCAAATAAGAACAAAAATTAGGATTTTTTTTCCCCCTGTAGGAGGAACAAGTGAAAGTGAACCTATGCTAAGCCATACAGTCAGGAAGCACCTTCGGAAAACTAGACTTGAGTTACTCCATAAAGAATATGAGGTAAACAATAATTGAAGTGATGTCAGCAATGAATTTCAGTTAAAAATTGAGTTACCTCAGTCCCTAGACGACTTAAGAGTAAATATCAAATGTAACCTTAGTTTGAATGCCAGTTAAAAAAATACCTTGTTAAATTCTCTTTCTGGTTCCCTTTTTGTTTTAAACAGAGAAAAGAGTTGTTTTTCCTTTTTTTTGGTTTCTTTGTTTTTTAAATACCAAGGAAGGAAGGAATGGGATTTCAGAGAAGAGGAAGAGATGGAAGCATTTCCTTTTTTTTTTTTTTTTTAAATAATTTATAATTTGTACCTCTAAGACATGTCATTTTATGTTTGCTCCCTTAAAAAATCCAGAGATAAAATAAGCCCTCTGGTGACACTCTCATCCCACAATTATCATTTTTTCCTGTCTATAAACTTACTGATGATTATAAGCCTGACTGTCTGATACAGTAAATATACCTTATGTCAACTATCAGCACAGATCTTATTGTGAAATATGCTTTTCCTGAATTGTCTAACAGTAAATGAGCAGGCTGATTTGCTATGAGGGTGGACTTTTTCCAACTAAATACATGCTAATAGAATATACTTTTTAATAGACATTAAGCCCAGTTGTCATTTTTTGTCAGCTAAAGGGGAGATATTACTAATCTTCTGTTTTGATGCAAAGTATCTTTAAATTAAACTATATACTTGGAAACTACCTTAGCTGCCTTAAAATTTTTTGAAGTGCATTGGGACACAAATAAATGATTAAATAAATGTTCATTTATGTATGTGTTTTTTGCATATATGAATACATAAACACATGTGTTTCTATTAATATGTTAAAGGCAAATTATTTTATGCTATTTAACTTCAAATGTATTAATTTAAAATAATTTAAAATAAATAGTACTGTGTTAACTCTAAAATGTATTCTTTTTTTTTCTTTTATTTTACTGTTTTTACAATTACTTACATGTGTATACATTGTTTGGTTCACCTCCCCTCCCCGTCCCCTTCCAGGCAGAAATTCTTGTTCTCCAGTTTTGTTGAAGAGAAAGCATAGGAGATGATAAGAAAAACATAGCATTTTTGCTAGTTTGAAATAAACATACAGACAGATTCCTAGCATCACTTCCATGCACTTGTGTATTGCAACCCACATTGGTTCATCTCTGCCAGACTTCTCACTACTTCCTGGTCCTCTTCCCACAGTGGCCTCTGCCAATTTAAGATTACTGTATTTGCTCCTCTACAGTGATCACATAAACCACATTCAAGTTTTAGGTTTCCTTTCCTTTCCCTGTTCCTCCCATGTGCATTCTCCCCTTAGTGTGTGACCCATGTCCAATATTACTGCATTTGTTTTGGGTCTATAATCTGCATATGAGGGAAAACATGCCATTTTTGGCCTTCTGAGCCTCACTAACTTCATTTAAGATGATATTCTCCACTTCCATCCATTTACTTAGGAATGACAAAACTACATTCTTTGTGGCTGAGTAAAATTCCATTGTGTATAAGTACATTTTCTTGATCCATTCATCAGTAGTGGGGCTTCTTGGCTGTTTCCATAGCTTGGCTATTGTGATTAGTACGTCAATAAACATGGGTGTACAGGTCCTTTTGTAATAACTTGAGTTGCATTCCTTAGGGTATATCTCTAGGAGTGGGATTGCTGGATCCTATGGCAGATCTATGTTTAGTTTTTTTAAGGAGCCTCCATATTATTTTCCAAAGTGGTTGTACTGGCTTACATTCCCACCAGCAGTGTATGAGGTTTCCTTTTTCCCCGAATCCTCACCAACATTTGTTGTTGGTGGAGTTCTTTGATGCTAGCTGTTCTTACAGGGATGAGGTGGAATTTTAGTGTGGTTTTGATTTGCGCTTCCTTTATAGCCAGGGATGATGAGCATTTTTTCATGTGTTTTTTGGACATTTGAATTTCTTTCCTTGAAAAAGTTCTGTTTAGTTCTGTTTAGTTCAGTTTCCCACTTCTTTATTGGTTCATTGATTTGGGGGGAGTTTAGTTTTTTGAGTTCTCTATATATTCTGGTTATCAGTCTTTGCCCGATGTATAGCTAGCAAATATTTTCTCCCACTCTGTGGGTGATCTCTTAAATTTAGAGACCATTTCTTTTGGTGTGCAGAGCTTTTTAATTTCATGTAGTCCCATTTGTCCATCCTTTCTCTTAGTTGCTGAGCAGCTGGAGTTCTTGAGGAAGTCCTTGCCTATACCTATTGTTTTCAGGGTATTCTGGGCTCTTTCTTGTACTAACTTCAAGGTTTCGGGTCTGATATTAAGGTCCTTAATCCACTTTTAGTTGATACTACTACAGGATGACAGGCATGGACCTAGTTTCAGTTTTCTGCAGGCAGATTGCCACTTTTCCCAATACCATTTGTTGAACAGGCTGTCTTTTCTCCATTATATGTTTTTGGCGGCTTTGTCAAAAATAAGGTGGGTGTAGCTATGTGGATTCATATCCGAGTCCTCTATTCTGTTCCATTGGTCATCATATCTGTTTTTTGTGCCAGTACCATGTTGTTTTTATTGCTATGGCTCTGTAGTATAATTTGACGTTGAGTGTTACGATACCTCCAGCATTGCTCTTTTTGCTCAGTATTGCCTTGGCTATTCATGATCTTTTGTGTTTCCAAATGAACTTTAGGGTAGATTTTTTTCAATCTCTGTAAAAATCAATGTCATTTGATGGGAATGACATTGAACATGTAGATCACTTTTCGTAGTGTAGCCATTTTTACTATGTTGATTCTACCAATCCATAAGACTATTTCTTTACATAATATTTGTCATGGATAGTAATCAAAATAACCCTTTGTGGGATCACTGGCTATCTTAGTGTTTTCTGCTACTATAAAAGAACACCCCAAACCGGGCTATTTTTAGTGAACAGAAATATATTTGGCTTATGATTCTGGAGGCTGTAGAGCCCAGGAGTATGCTGCCAGCATCTGGAGGGGGCTTTCATGCTGTCTTCGAATGGTGGATGACAAAGGAGCAAGAGATGGCAAGAGCAAGTGAGCAAAAGAGGGTACCTAAACTATCCTTTTTACCAAACTGAACTATCCTTTTACCAAAACCCTCCTTCATAAATAACCCATTCCTAAGGTAATAGCATTAGCTCATTCATGAGGACAGAGCCTCATGGCCTAATCACTTCTTAATGGCCCCACCTTTTAATGCTGTCACAATGGCAATTAAATTTCAACATGAGTTTAGGAAGCATCAGCATATGGAACTACTTGGAGCTTATTTTCTAACAACAGAATTTTTTAAAACTGCAGTTTTAGGTTATATGTCTTTTATAAATGAATAAATGACATCACAGGAAGGAGTTCTAACTCAAATGTTCAGCAGTTGCATTTAAGATAAGCAATTCCAGAAAAGGAAAACAAATACTTGTAATAGTCATATACTGACGAAAGGACCAGAATTTAGAAAGGTTAAAAGTTAATACAGTTATTATTCTGAAATGAAAAGTAGAAGGCTATGTGATTTTACTTCTACTTCAGAAATAGAAGCAAACATAAACATCAAGCAAACCCCTAATCGATCACCTTGATCAACACTGTACTTTTTAATTCCCCTCAGTAAAGCAGTTAAACATGCCTCAGAGTTCTCTTCTGAAATGGAATCTACTTCTTTGTTGGAATTCATGCCTCTGCTTTTATTTCTGGATAATATTTTAAACAGAATCAAAGATTTGACATTTTTCATTTTTAAAACTACAACTGTCATTTAAAATGCTAGCAGCATATTGACAGTTTTTATTAGAATCAAGATACATTTTAATAATTTAAACTTTCTCCTTACAAAACTGTTATGATGTATAAAGAATCTGTGAATTTTGAATTGGAGTATAAAATTAAACACATTGGCCTTGGTTTAGCATATGTATGTGTTGACGTTTTTGTCTGTCTAATGACTATGATACTTTTTCAGGATGAAATAGATTGTTTGCAGAGAGAAATAGAAGAGCTTAAAAGTAAAAATCTCAGCTTGGAGTCACAGATCAAGACCATTCTAGATCCTTTAACTACAATGCAGGGCAACCAAAATGAAGAAAAACATCCCATTGTAGATATTCCAAGTAAAATTGACCAAGATACTGTTGCAGAATGGAAGAAAAAACTCAGAACAGCTAGTGAAATCTATGAAAAAGTAAAAGATGATGTGGATAAGTTAAAAGAGGTAAGTTGTAGGGGTTTTGAAAAGCCTATTGGGGTTGTTGTTTGAATTCTATAATATTTGTACTTCAAAAACTTACATTGCTTTGACTCATGAGATAATTTGTGAGAGAAGGGAAACAACCCCTGGATGAACATTTATATGCTGCAAGAAATCTTTCTGCCTAGAAATATCAGGTGATTCCATTTGTGGCTATAACTGGAGGCTCTATAGTGAGTGTTCCCCTATGAGATTTTGTTGTCTTCTTGAAGAGTAATATCAATTTAAAGGATGTGTTTTTATTTCCCCCACTTTGTTTGCCTTTTTTTAAGCTTATTTCAGTGACTGCCTTCTGTGGGGGAAAAACAAAAAAGCACACCCGTTTCCCTACTTATTAAAGAAAAGGGGTGTTTTTTTTTCATATCTTTTGTAACACTACCATTTTCTGGTTTTTAAGATTGTAAATAGATATTAAAGGTTTAATGACTAATTTAAAAGAGCTGTGAGCATTGCTTTAGACTTTTCCATGCAAAAGAATATTGTGGTTTATGAGACTTTTTTTTTTTTTGCCATTATTCTTCTATCTATCCAACAAGATAGAGAAAACATAAATTAAAAAAAAAGCAAACTTTTAGAATTTTCCAATCTAGAATGGGAGAAAGGATCCATCCCATCAGCACAAGCAATGACAGGTGGTGTAGTATTTTTTTGACTAAACACCAGCCTTTAGATTGACTTTGGGTGTATCTACCTAGAGTCCTACTATACTGAATGGGGATGGTTTTGTAATACTCAGGTCAACAACCACCCATTCAACTTATCTACTACATTCCTTTAAAGTACTGTTCTTGTGAATTACTAAATCCTGCCCCCTAAAATTATTAACGGGTTCGTATGATATTTTAAAAAAGTACTACCACATATTGAATCACAGAGGTTAACAACCCAGTGTAAGCCATTTTCCACATGTAAAATAAATGCTGTTTTGGGTTCAGAAAAGGCCTATATGAGAATAAGAAGGAAACTTCTTTCAGAGAAAAAAAAGCACTATAGATGCAATTGTACTGAGCTTATTACAAATTTAGGGGAAGTACAGTTTCTGTATTGATAGCCAACCTTAGTATGTGGACTTGTTAGAAGACAAGACAATGGAAGGAATTACAGATAGGAAGTTACAGTATTTATCAATCTGCAGCTTCTCCTTCAGCTTCCATACCTCTTTTTAAACCATCAGTAAGCTCTATATCATCTCCTTCATAGTTATAAAATTTTTGGCAAAAAAAATACACTCTTTAGATCTTGAGGCTCTGTGTGAAAACTAATCGGGGCTCATAAGGCTAGTTTTGGAAATGTATGTAAAATGATAGTACATAAAGCCCAGTTTTAAATCCAGTACCCACAGCTATTCTGAGACTTCCCAATTATTTGGAATATTTAATAAGTACATTTTGGATGCCTACTGGTGGTATTATGTAATAGGCTACAAGCCAGTGCATAAATAATAAGAAAACATGGACTTCAGAGACAACTCAAAGTAATGACATATTATAAATGAATAAAGATAGAATGAAGTACTACTTAGCATGAGAAAAATGAACTTTTTTTCTGATGTTCCAGGACTGTGTGAGTTTTGAACCATTATGAGGTTGGTATCATTACCCAATCAGGGCTGAGAGTACACTGTGCAATAAGTAGGCAGAACTGTACTCTTTATAACCTTCGCTCACCTACATCTCCCAAAGTTGAGACAGTTACTACCCAGCCCATAATGAGAAGGATTCCAAGAACCACAGGACTCATAAGAAACCTTTGAAATATAGTAGTATTGGGGGCAGGGATCAAATGAGTTTCTAATTTAAGCTAGTTGCTGTCATCAAAAAGCATTCACTGAGTGCCTCCCCTTCTGGTGCTATCTATGCTTCAAAGCTTAATTCACTGTCTGTATGTATGAGGAAGTAAATGAGTTCCCTTGTATCTTTAGAGAAGTAGTAACAGTGTTTATCAGTAACTAAAAAGTTAACCCTCCACAATCCTGGTTGATGTGCAACTGTGAAGATAAGCAGGGGGCTGAGAGTCCAAAAGGAACCTAGACGAGTCTAACTAAGGGTGTTAGGCTTTATACCCAAAAGAATGTCCTCTTTCCTTCTTTTGAGACTGTTATGGTGCATTTATTACATGCATATGGGTGGGTAATACAATCAGAAGTTCTGGAAGTCAAGAGCATTGGTCAAAATTTTGAAATATGTTTTTAAGACTTCTTGATTTAAACATTTTTGACAGTAGTTCTTGTGACTTACTAACTTTAAACATAAATGTTTTATCAAAGAATTTCCTTTGTCAAATGAGTGAGTTTGGTTGCTAGTCTAGAGAGTTTTATTTTGTTTGGAGTACTCAAATGCAATGACTTAGGAATTTAAAGGAGGGAGCTGTTAAGAAGATTCTAAAATTTAAGAACATTAATTTTCAGACTGTCTATAATACTGAGCCTCTAGATTTTTCTTGTTTTTGTTTTGTTTTGTTTTGTTTTTGTGAGAGGGCCTCACCGTGTATCCCACAGAGCCTCACTGTTTATTCTCAGGCTGGCCTTAAATTTGGTATGTAGCCCAGGCTAATCTTGAAGTTGTGATCCTCCTACCTTAGCCTCCTAAGTGCTGATATTACAAATACTCATCGCCATGTCCAGCCAAGCCTCTAGATTTTTCTAGCAACTAGGTAATTTTTAGGTATACAATTCAAGAAAAGCATAACTGGGGGCCTTGTGGGTTTTGTTTTTGTTTTGTTTTATTTTAAATCAAGGGAGAAATCATAAAATTTATTAGAAGATACCCAATTTTTAGGGTCCCAGGAATTGTGAGCCAGAGAATTGGGAAAGCCTTTTGAAGAAAGAAAACAGAACATAACTAATTCAATCATAATAGATTTATATCTAGTCATAGCTCAAAAATTAGTTTTTAGCATTAGTTTGGAAATACTTGCATGTGTCCTAATACTACCTTGCTTAGAGTATCCAGTTATGTAAAAAAGAAATATATAAGAGTGTGTGTGTGATTAGTATATTATATAGTCCCTCAATGACTTAGAGCTAGCTAACTAAGAGTAGCCTTGTTTATTTCCTTCAATAGGAGATTTGGGAAAAGACTAAAAATGCTTAGTCTTATTTACAGTTTCACATGCTACTCTTAGTGGTGATTTTAAGTATTTGAAAGCCATGTTTTAGTATTCAGTTTTCTGATATTGCACTAAAAAATACAAATGGCTCTTGTCATAATTTCTACATGACACTTTTGTTTTACCTTGTGCTTAATTATTTTCAACTCTTTTTTTTTTTTTAAGGCAAATAAAAAACTGAAATTGGAAAATAGTGGCTTGGTGAGGGAGAATTTACGACTGAAGGCTGAAGTTGATAACAGATCACCCCAAAAGTATGTATTTTGCTCACAGAGCATTGTTTCAGATTGCCATTGGTGTAAATTAGACTGCCATGATGGCGTGTGGTTTTTATTTGACTCTTTTCATTGAAGCAAGCAGAATGTCTTGTCTTTAAAAGTCAAGTGCAGACTTCTGTATTATTGGTAAAATCTTAGTCTCAGCTAAGACTTAATTTTGAAGAAAGGATTTCATGCTTATCTTTTTTTCTTCTTGATTAATGAAAGGATTGTTTTATGTCACCCAAGACAGGTAAGCCTTCATTTGATTTTACATATAACTGTTTAATAGTATAACATATAGTGAGATTAATGCCTTTAATGGTTTTCTAAGATAATCTTAGTAATAGTTAGTGTCCCTGTAGTACATTCTCTTTGCCAGGTACAATAGGGTATGAAATCCAACTATTATTATTTTCTATGTACAGATGAGAGGATGGAGATATAGAGAGATTAAATTCATTTATCTAAATATGCACAGCTATTAGGTGGTAGAAATTTCATTTGAACTAGGGTTGTCCTGCCCCAGAGTTTGTGCTGTGAACCATTACACACACACACACACACACACACACACACACACACACACACACAAAACCTCTCTGAAATCAAACTTAAGGAATTGTTCACTGAATTTTGGACTGATTATTTGAAGCTATATAATAAGTGAATTTATTCTTCCTTTATGTTGGAATAGTTTTCACTCCATTCTCGAGACTAAGAGATCGCAAATGTTGAGCTGCTTAGCAGTTAATTTGTCTGTTTACAATTACAAGAAAGAGTTTGTAGTTAAGAGTTGAAGATGGAGAAGAGATGGCATATACCACTTGCCATTGTTCTTTAATGAAAACAATGACAGGAAAGAAGAAAATATGGCCCCTAAAGTGTGGCAGCCTGTCTAAGGGGTATTGTATCAGAACTCCATCATTACTTCTCATCCAACTACTAGACTTCATTTCTTTTTATTGTAAGATGAAAATAGAAATAAGAAAACAGTGGAAATTCATCTTTGTAATTTATCCTACCACAAATAGCTCTTTGCTTGTCATTTGGAAAGAAGGAAAAATTGCCTTCAGTAGAATCTGATATATTAGGAAATGATAAAAGTAAACAATAATTATGCAAACCAAAGATTACTAGCCAATAAAGAAGAAGACATAACTTTTACTTATCAATAGATCAATAATTCCTTCCCCTGTGTTTTCCAACCTCATTTTTCTTATACTTCAGATAATGTCCTGATCTGACAAATTAGTGACATAAATTTAGGAAGTGTTGCTGTTACGTGGTGCTTTAACTCTCTAATCCTGTCATTTATTGGCAGCTCGCCTTGCCAATCATAGAGATGCTTGCTATTGTCCATTTCCCACAGCATGCTGAATAGAACTAAAGCTATTTTGCTTGTAGCTTTTATTTCTTAAAAAGTTGCTCACCAGATTTCAAATTTAATGCCAGCCACAAGGATATGTGATTTTTAAATGTCCATGCCTTCCACCAGATAAATCACTGGAGAACCTCTTATGAAGAAACCTGGCATCTGTCTACTGCAACCAAACAGCCACACATTTAAATTCAGTATAACTGCATGATTTGCCATCTTTAGCTTCCATTCCCTCCTTTCATGGAAAAGGAATAGTTTCACTTGAAAAGTGGTTTGAGCTGGTCCAAATTGCAGATCAGTTCAAAATGCATTGATGTATTAAATGCATTTCATTTGATTTATAGTTTTGTTTACTTTATATCACCAAACCCTAGTGGGATTCAGAGAGAAGCTGACCACAGCTGAAAATACCCAGATGTAGTTCAGTGAGGAGCACTCCAACTTGTATGGAAAAGAATATGAAATTTCAAGAATTTAAAAATAAATGGAAACCAGGTATTGGTGGCACAGGCCTGTGGTCCCAGGTACTTGGGAGGCAGAGGTAGGAAGATTGAAGTTCAAGTGTAACTGTTTTTGTGTTGGTCAACTACTTGATTAGGTATAAAAGAATCTTTTTTGTACACATACACCAAGTCTCTGTATATTCTAGAAGCTGAGCATTCAGTCTAAAAATCATACACAAGAAAGAGCTTTAAAATTTAGACATTGGAGAGACAAAAAATCATACACAAGAAAGAGCTTTAAAATTTAGACATTGGAGAGACATTGGAGAGGCAAAAAATTAGAATGGTGTATAAGTCATCTCAGATTGCTATAACAAAACACCATAAACATATTGACTTAAACAGCAGAGATTTATTTTCTCATAGTTCTGGAGGCTGGAAGTCCATGTCAAGGTTAGGCAGGATTGGTTTCTGGTAAGTTTGCTCTTCCTGACTTACTGATGGACACCTTCTCCATTGTGTCCTCATAAGGGAGGGAGAGAGAGAGTGAGAGCACTCATTTTTCTCTTCCTCTTCCTATAAGGACAAAAATTCTATCGATTACGACCTCACTCTTACAACTTCATTTAACCTTCATTACCTCCTAAAGTCCCTGTTTCTAATTGCAGCTTCAGTGTGTGAATTTTAGAGGTACACAGTTCAGTCTTTAGCAGAATGTATTTCTTTTTAAGACAAACAAATATGCTCTTGCCAAAAAACCTAGACTAATATCCAGTATAAACAAGTGAATGATGGTATTGTTTTTAATATCTTAAGGAGCAGTATTATAATCTTTTTAAATGAAGGTTTTTATTACCCTGCTACAATCTTAAATCCAACCTGAACATTTTTCCTGCCTCAACTAACTTAAAAGCCTTCTTGAGCAATATGGCAGGTAGCCTTCTGCCTTAATTAGTTTCGTATAGCTGTGACCAATTTAAAGGAGGAAAGACTTATTTTGACTTACAGTTTCAAAGGTAACATTACATAGTGCCTGACTTATTCTGGGCTCCTGGTGATGTACGTATCATGAAGGCGGGAGCATGGCAGACAGGAAGCAGAGTGAAGACAGTAAGCAGGCAGGGCAAGATACAGCCAAGGACATAGCCCCACGGACCCACTTCCTCTAGCTAGGCCCCAAGCTTACTTTTCGCCACCTCCAAAAAATGCCATAATATTACGAAACTGTCAAGGATTAATCTGTTCATTAGGTTCCAGTCCTGTAATGGTCTCTGGAAATGGTCTCATAGACACACACAGAGGTGTGCTTTACAATCTTACAATCTCTTAGGCTTTTCTCAGTCCAGTCAAGTTGACAAGATTAACCATCACACCTAATCATGTCTTTCTAGGTTTCAATAACATCCATTGTGTTCTGTGTCAAATTCATAATATCTGGATGCAGTCATTTTCTTTGGCTCTGTTAGCCACTGTTTAAAATTATTTTTCTTCTAAATTAATTTATTTTACCTGGAGGAAACCAGCTGCTTGCCTTTTTAGTTTAATCTAGTAAAGATTCCCAAAAGAATAGGATCTGATGCTCAAACCTCAAGGGGTGGTGGTAAGGTAGGTCCTTTAGTTTACAAGGCTAGTATCTGAAGAAAACGCTACCAGCCAGCCCAGAAATACTGAACATTTTCTTTTCTTAACACTATAGGAGGGGCTTTGAACTTTACAAAGTAAATACTGCCCCTGATCTTAAAGTAGATTAGTTTCTCTTCCTATAATTCTGTTTAATTGTCTCTCTTGTGTTGTAATATTTAGTAAGCACTTCTGTAAGTGCTTACTGTTGGCACATTTATTATTTTTTTATTTATCTTTTGTTATTAGCTTATACTAATTATACAAAAGGGTTTCAGTGTGTTATTTTCATACATGCACATAATGTACTTTGGCCAAATTTATCCCCTCTATTACTCTTACTTTTCCTCTCCCCGCCCTTTTTCAATGATTTTTAACATGTGTCATTGTTCTGTTTTCATACATGAATGACTTCTAGCATATTCACCTCCTTTTCTCCCCTCCCACTGGTTCCCATCCTTAAACAGTCCCTAGTTTTACACAAGTACCATTCGTTTTTTTCCCCCCCAGGTCTAGATTCCACATATGAGAGAATATGTGGTATTTGCCTTTCTCAGTCTGTCTTATTTTGCTTAACATGATGATTTCCATTTTCTTGCAAACAACTTAATTTCATTCTCCATTATGGATGAAAAATACTCCATTGTGTACATATGGCATATTCTCTTTATCAGTTCATCACTTGATGGACACCTGAGCTGATTCCATAATTTGGCTATTGTAAATAGGGTTGCTATAAACATAGGTGTGGTTATCTCTGTTGTATATACAGACTAATACTCCTTCAGAATGTACCTAAGAATAATATAATAGGATCATATTGTAGTTCTATTTTTAGTTTTTTGAGGAACTTCCATACTAATTTTCATAATGGTGGCACTAATTTACGTTCCTATCAACAGTGCAAAAAAGGGTTCTGTTAGGGTTACTTTTTCTCCTGCATCTTCACCAACATTCATTGCTGTTTGTTTTCATGGTGACTGCCCTTCTGACTAGTGTGAGATGAAATCTCAGGGTGGTTTTGATTTCCTTTTCCTTTATGGCTAAGAATTTCAACATTTCTTCATTTATTTATTAGATATTTTTACTTCTTTTGAGAACTGTTTGACTCATTTGCCCATTTATTAGTTGAACTCTTTGTTCATTTGGCATTTAATTTTTGAAGCACTTTATATATTCTGGATTTTAATCCTTTATCCAGAATAGCTGGCAAAAGTTTTCCTCCCATTCTGTGAATTGTCTCTTAATTCTAGTAATTGCTTCCTTTGCTATGCAGAAGCCTTTTAATTTAATATAGTCAGTCTCATTTGTCAATTTTTTTTGGGGGGGGATACTGGGGTTTGAATTCAGGCCCTTATTTGTCAGTTCTTATTCTTATTTCCTAAGCAGTTAGTCCCATTCAGAAAGGCATTACCTATGCCAGTATCTTTAACAGATTTCTTTTGTTTTCCTATAGTAGTTTCAAAGTTTCAGGCCTTACATTTAGGTGTTTTATCCATTTTGAATTAATTTTTTGCAAAGGTTAGGAAATTAGGGATCTGGCTTAAGACTTC